GATAATAAAAACTACCTGTTTCTTTCTCTAGTTTCTGCTTACATATTTTGGAAGAAACGATATCAGCGAACTAATTGAAGAGGCAGTCTTAGAAGCAGATAAGAAAGGAGCTAAGGTTTTGAGTTTAGGTCTTCTGAATCAGGCATGTAATTAAGATTCCACCATTTATTACTGCTTCTTTGAAGTTGATTATTTTCAAAAGATTAGCACATATAATGCGAATCAATTTTGCAGAAAGAAGAACTTAACATGAATGGGGAGTTGTACATCCAATGGATACCTCAGCTTAGAATAAAGATTGTTGATGGAAGCAGCTTGGTGGCAGCTGCTGTGATTCACAGCATTCCAAAGGAAACAGCACGAGTGATCTTCAGAGGAAAGCTGTCCAAGGTTGCTCATAACGTATTGTCAGCGTTATGTCAAAAGGGTATTCAGGTAATGTTTCAATTGCCCAAGACAGGTGCAAGATAGAAATGTCGAACATCAAAAGTTATCTTTCTGTGTTTTGCAGGTTATTACATTACATGAGGATGAATATATGAAGTTAAAGCAAAATGAAAAGTTGCTGGGAACTGACGTGGTTCTTTCAGAAAGTTACAGTCAAAAGGTGAATTAAAGTGGAACTGAAACCTTTACCTTTTGCTTGTACTAATTTTTAACATTTTTTACAACGGAAAGGTGAGAAGTTAAGACTCCTTTGAGTAATGCAGATATGGCTAGTGGGAGATGGACTGACTGAGAAAGAGCAGTTGAAAGCATCGAAAGGAACAATTTTCATCCCAATTTCGCTTTTCCCACCAAGAAAAGTGCGCCCAGACTGCTATTATCACACTACACCAGCCATGATGGCTCCAAAATCTCTTGAAAACCTTAACTCTTGTCAGGTTGGTATCAAAATACCCATTTTTGCAGAATTAGTACTCTGTTTTTATTGTGAGAATTCTTATTTCTATATATATTTAAATGTGAAACAGAATTGGCTGGGAAGAAGGGTGATGAGTGCTGTGCGTGTGGCTGGAATTGTTCATGCTTTGGAAGGATGGGATGTTCATGAGTGTGGCAACTCTGTCTTCAGCATTGATAAAGTTTGGGAAGCTGCTCTTCACCATGGATTTCGTCCTTTGGCAGTTCCTACCTAATCAAAAGACTTTGGTGGCCTATGCTATCTAGCATGATTATTCTGCCATATGCAACAAGCATTCCCGAGCATGAAAATTATAATATTTGCTCAGTTTATACTTTATTGTATTTCTATTACTAAAGCATTATAATCATGCTTATTTTACAAATAAAAATTCCCCTGTTTGTTTAAATTTCAAAAGCAATTATGAACAATGTGTGGATATTTGGAGTTTTGGTGTATTATGTTTTTGTATCTTTTATACTGTTTTAAAAAAATTAAATTTAGTATATCTAGAGTTTGATCTATGAGATGAGTGGAAATAATAGTATTTGTCACCTATTTGATTATGGTTTGAGGGCTTTTGACTCCATTCTCTTCTCTCATTTTTCAAAAATTGTACTTGTTTAAAATTTAAATTTAGTATATCTGATGATAAATTATACAAACAAAAAAAAATCCCTTTTAACATGTTTTATGATTCAAGGTTTTTAAACATTGAGACATTACGGGGCATAATTTGGAGCCTAGTTTCCGTATTCAAAAGGTGAATTACATGTATGAGGGTTAATACATGAAGTAAAGCAAAGATGAAATGTTAGGAACAGATGTGGTTCTTTTAGAAAGTTAACAATGAAAAGTGAATTCAGGGTGTGGTTATTCTCACGTGATATTACGTTAGGATCACATAATTTAATTAATATTTTATTAATTTATAATTATTTTTTAAAATAAATATTTATAAACATTTGTTTATAAGATTTTGTATGGGAAATATAATTTTATTGATATATAAAAATTATAAAGATTACATAATCAACTCAAATAAAGTAATACATAGGAGATATTACATTTATAAAATACATAAAAATACAAAATCAAGTAATTTAATACTCATATGAATATCATAGACAAGCCCTAATTTAAAATTTAATAGCTAAATCATATTCCAATATAATTTATCTAACGGAAAATATATTAGTTGGGGCAAACAAATTTAGCTAAGGGCTTTGTCCCTAACTATTTTTTAACGGTCAAAATAAATATGAAAACTAATGTAAATTCAATTAATATCATGTTTAAATTGTTATTCTCATTAGATAAAAGTGAATGTGAATTAGAAATATCAAGAAAGTCTAAATAAAAATCCTAAAAAAAAATATTTTTTTTAAAAGAAAGAAAAAGAGGAAACTTCGACTTTTAATCATCTATCTATCTTAATGACAAAAAGGAGAAAAGTAATGGTTAAGAGAGAGAGAGAAAAAAAAAAAAAAAAGAGAAGTAGTAGAAAATCAAGGCAAAAGTGAACATTTGCCTATAAATTAACTTGAATTTAATAAATAATAAATATTAATTATTTTATTTATTATTAATTATTTTTAATAAATAAAATTAACAAATTCACGTCATATTATAACACACAATTACGTGGCCATAACCACAGTTGGGAATTAAAGCGAATAATCTACCATTGGCCGATGGATGGCTGCCGGATAGGACGAACATGTCAAGTTGTCGACTTTTGATTGGTTGACATCAGACACGTGAAATTAAAGCAACATTTGTGAATAAAAAAAACGAAGAAAAAAAGAAAGAGAGAACAAAAGAAACAGCAACACCATAAACAAGAGGCATGGGGTTTGGTTATCGCTCCAACCGTTATATTTATTAAGGTAATTAAAGCGACATTTGTGAAGAAAAACAGAAAAAGGAGAAAGAAAGAAGAAAAAAAAACAGCAACACTAGATTAACAATACGTACGGAGTCGGGTTATGGACAGCATCAAATTTGTTAAAACTATTAAAATGGTTAAAATTTTATTTTAATTTAATTATTAAAAATAAATAAAAAGAGTATTTTTAGTAATTATATAACTTAAATAAAATTAATATTTTTTAAAACAAAATTAATAAATTTACGTGACTCTGACGTATAATTTTGTGCTCCTAACCACGTTAGGTGATCCTCATCAATTCAGAATTGACTGTTAGGGACACTCGCCAATTATACTCTCCAGCCGACACTTCCATTTTCATTACGCCACGTTATTTTGGTTGCGGAGAGGTGATCATTTCATAGCTAAGCAAACTTACGTGGCCCAATAAAAAAGCATGTGTTGGATGGAAAGTGCAGGAGGTGAGTGCCCCTAACACTGTTTTTCAGAATTTAAAACTTGTTTGGCGTGGCTAGTGCTTTTGATGGAAGTTCTGTTAAAAAAAATCTATTATAAATGTGTTGTTTTTGAAAATCTGAAAGTATTCGGTAAAATTTTTTATGAAAGACTTGTAAAGTGAAAAGTTATTTGGTAAATTTTATTATAAGAGATCTTTTAATATTGAAATTATCAAAAAAGACATTTTCTTTAAAAAAACCATTGTTTCTCTTTTTTTGATATTTTTATAGAGT